TATTCCCAAAACTCATTTTTCAAGCCGTTTCTCACTGCATTTCTCGAAATTAGTCGCTCTCAAGCATGTGACAAATAAGATCAATAGTTAAATATTTTAAAAAATGCTTCCCATCTTATAGAACTATGTTCCATCGTATGACTTAGGTTGATCGTGCCATATTATTATATGTATTTTTGTCAGACTGATTTTGGATTACATTCTACTTGTGATTGTACAGGTATTGATTTCGTTTCGTTGAGGGACAGATAGTATGTTATCGTGAACGTCTATTTCAGTCTTTTAATGACAAAGAAAAGAAAAAGAAGAAAAATACAGGTACTCGTCGTATACATTATTGATATGCACGTACTCGAAAAGGATTAGTGAACAAAGTAAGAAACGAGAAAATTATCGAATGTGCCCTAGTCCTAGCTGTAATTTTTTCCGTATTCTTTCAACTTCGTTAATTAAAACCAAAATAATTACAGAAGATCCTTTTTCACTTTTTGCACTAATCTGAAGTACACAAGTTCTACAATATACTAATCTGTTTTTTAGAAAAAGATCCCTTGTTGTTTTCAAGATATAGAACTGTCAATAACACAAATTAAAGATAGTAAAACGTATGCGTTTCATTTAATGCTCATATTTACTGATTATTATTAACCCTGTTTCAAAAATTGTATTGGGTTACAAAACATTTATCTATTAATCGTTTTATGAGATTATGTTTCACTAATTCCTCTCTTATAAGAAAGTTTGAACACGATCAACCTGTCTTTCGGAAAAATGATTTTTACTTCATTATAGTCTTTTAGCCATTTCTACACACATTATCTCTGATTATCAAGCTCCGAAGAGAAAACTGGAAAGTCACGATGGTCAGAAAGAGTTTATTTAACTAAGGGAAGAAAGTATGATTTGTCAAACGTTAATCAATAATATTGAAAGCTATATATCTCAGAAACTAAGAAGGGTCTTTTTTAGAAAATATATCAGTATATAGTACAACTTGTGTACTTCAGACTAATATAACAATTGAAGATAGACCCTCTCTAGTTAATTTAATTTTAATCTGAGAAGTTGGCAGAATATCGGATGTGCACTGCTTCTTTCGGACATTGAATAAATGAATATATAGATTAAAATAGAAAATGTCTTCTTTTCTATAAAAAGAAATAAAGCGCTGTGCACATATATACGAGCACATAAGAAAAAAATATGGGACGGAAGAAAAATAAGATCAAAGGAAAGAAAAGTGAACGCAATGTGTTTGATGTCTATAGCGTAATATACCGTGAAACCTCCGACGGAGGCACCGGATCCAAAAAATGGAGGGAGGGCCCGACGAGATCTTTACGCCGTACAACGTAACTCGTCGCGCTGATTCCGAATATGCAAAAAATCTCGATTGACGCAGCTCTAGAAAGAAACCATCAAATTTTGATCTGTTAGGCACGACAGCCATCTTGAATTTCTATTGGTTAGCGTACGAAACGGATAAAATAGTACGTAGAACGAGCGCTCTATAAATAAATTAGCAAGATCGGAACTGAACACTTCAGTATAGTAAGAGAAATACACGTAGTTGTGCACTGTAAAAGAATAAGTGATCCGGGAAACTTGTTCTTTACAATGTGCGTACGATTTCTTTATAAATTACTCTGATACTTAAACTCATATTAAGAGTAGTGCGTTGGTGCCGAGCCTAAAAACCGTTTTCGGAGAACAGAGAAAATGTTTAACATACATTATTCAGTACAAGATACAACAACAATATAATAATTAGAACGAACGAGAAACTTATAATTAGCAGCGAACAGAGCGTGAAACAGACGGAAGGGCAGACATCTTTGCCGGCAAATAGATAGATTTTTGCATATCAAAAGACTCTGAGAGCTTCCTTTGCCTTCAGTGGTGATGAATGGAAATTGTTCCTTTGGATGTGAAATTTCCTGGGACCTTATTAAAAGCAAGGTTGGATTTTAACACCGAAATTAAATTCTAACTTCTTTACGAAATCTGAATAGAAATTTATTAGAAATATTTCTTCATATTAAAAATATCTGACAAATTTTGTTAGAGGAAGAAAGAATGGTTGCATCAAGACACTGACGTGAGAGTACGTTTCTTTTTTTAACTGAACCGTGACTAAAAATTCATGCATACTTTTTTCAGTTGTGATGGCTGCATAAACGTTTCCATCAGTGTGTATGTGACTTTTCATGCATAAAGAAGAGACGTTCGATTTCATTATGTAACTATTTCTTCTTGCTGTAACAAAATCTGTCAAATATTTTTAGTGTAAGTCTATGAGCGCTCCCATGCAAAACACTTTGCTGGGAGTATCAATAAGGACATCATCTGACATATGAGCGGCCCGACGTTTAAGCCTTTCTCAAATTATACTTTGACATACAAAATTCGGATTAGCGTTTGATTTGCGTCGTCCGGGACATCTTACTCATCGGGGAGGAGAGGATTAGTGGATAGTGAGAGTGAATGAAAAAACTAAAATTTAATAAATGAAAATTGGTATTGACACTCTCAAGGGGTGTCAATAAGGAGATTATCCGATATTTCACCAACCCCATCTGCAGAGATCTCTTATACAGTCTATCACAATGTTAAGCTTCTTTAAACTCATCTACTTGCTGCAACCATGCTTGGATTGAGGGTTCAACATGACACTGCATACTTCAAATTCTCCTCTTATTATAAGTTTTTGTTATACCAATTTTCATGCATTAGATTTTCAGCTTTTTCACTCACTCTCACTGTCCACTTGCCCTCCTCCCTCCCCGATGAGCGAGATGCCCATCAAAATGCGAATATACAATCAGAATCTTGTGAGTCAAAGTATAGTTCGAGGAACGTTCAAACGTCGCGCCGCTCATATATCAGATAACGTCCTTGTTGGCAATCCAGCAAATGTTTTTGCTCAGGAGTGGCAGTAGTTTTTGTTGACACTCCCAGGAGTACCAATATCTCCTAGATGACACTCTTTGGAAGCGCCAACAGCCATTTCGATATTTTTAATATGAAGAAATAAGACAGCTGCCTGCATCGTCAAATATTTCTTGTGTCGACATTGATCACATGTAAACAAATAAAAGCACAGATTAGCTCAGTCAGCGCAACAACTGGAGAAATATTATATCGAACAAAACGGCATGCACGTAAAGAAATATTTTTTTCTTTATTTGGAATCTCAATGATGGACTGCTTTCTACACGGCTGTCGCGAGCTGTAGTCTCCTCCTCCCTCTCTTTCTTCTATAGGTTTAGAGCATCTGGCTGAAGTATGTATAGCCCATTTTGCCATTGATGTTATCCTTTTCCTTAAGTTTATGTTGTAATTATAGTATTTTCTGTTCTAGATAAAATGTTATGTTCATTGAAAAAAATTTTAATTTCGTCTCTAGTGGGACTGTTATTGTTGGGAGCAGGAATCCTTTTTAATAAAATGAGTCACAATCTAAAATTAAATAAATTCTTTTTTAAAAGATTACCCATTAACAGAAATGAGAGTCTATTAATAAAGTATATTTTTGATTGGAGGGAATGGTGGACATTGTTAAGTAAAGACAATTTTATTATTTTATCCACATTAAATGAATCGTCCTTATGTAATGTATCTAGAGAATTGAGGCTAATTTCAGATACCTACTGTAAAATCTATTATAGGAAATGTCCACAGATACCTTGTACATTAGTAAAATCGTCAGCATCGGCGATGAAAAATATCCAATGTATGAAAGGTGGTAAAATATTCGAGAAAAAAAACATGAATGAGAAGCCAGATATACTTTGTCAAAGCGGTGTATCGTTGGATTTATTTGGGCGTAATAATGGCCAATTTAAATCCTATCCATCGATTCTTACGAATAAAATGTTAGTTCTCGATGATAAATTATGGCGAGATGTATTAAGTCAATTTCGGAGTTATGATAGTGTATGGGGTTTCCATTTTGATGGTGAATCGATTGATTATTATCCGTGGGCATCTGAATATAAAAAGCTTCGATTGTTCGATGTAACTATGGGTTATAATCGACAATTATACGACTGGATTACACCTGGTTATCTACTGCACTATGTGCCAAATATTACAAATCCTTCTTTACGGTTATCGGCAAATAATGTCATGGTAATGAAAAAATCAGTAACAGCTTATAAAAATAATTCTGAAATAACGGCACCCGTGATGTGGATAAACGGAAATTGTAATGCAAAATCAGGACGAACAGAATATATGAGCGAATTTATGAAACATATCGATGTCGATAGTTGGGGTGCATGTATGAGAAACAAAGGGGATTTACCACCTGATATTATTAGAATACAAGGAGGAAAAGGTGACGATTTCTGGAACCTTAATTGGATTCAGGCAAAAATGGCTCTTTCAAGCAATTATTTATTTACAATAGCCATTGAAAACAGTCTAACTTATGATTATGTTACAGAAAAGTTATGGCAGCCGCTTGTTGCTGGTAGTGTGCCCATTTATCTTGGTGCACGGAACATTGAAGATTGGTTACCGTGTAAAAATTGTATTATTGATTTACGACAGTTCAAGACACCAAAAGAAGCTGCTGAATTTGTTAGAAAAGTAGCAACAAACAAAAGTCTTTATCAAACTTATCATCGATGGCGTAGTCAACCTGTATTAAAACAATTTCAAAATATTATTAATTACTTTGATTATTCACGAAAGTACAGTATGGAATGTATCGTCTGTGATATGGCACATGATATAAATATTCTGGGAAAAAATCCTTATAGCAACATAAGAAAAATTTTGTCAAGTTTAAATCCATTCGAATGGGTTTGGTAATGAATCGTCAACTCTGAAAAGAAATTATTTGTTCAATTCATCTATTATATGTTTCTTTCCCCGTTTTAGTCAGCCTTACATAGTATCTTTTGATCTTTGAGCTAATCCGTTACTAATGACTTAAACAGAACTCATTTCTGAAAGAATCAAACAAAGATATCATGACCGCTTTCGACCTTTCTCAAGGGTATCGTCAGGTATAGGAATAATAACACTTTCACACAGTGTGGACTGGGTTATGTTGCTTGTCGTACTGTAACTCTGTCGTTCTCGAAGGAAACCACTTGACGAGACCCTTGTGCTAAAGGTGGTGACAAGTTTTATTTCCGGGAGGAAGGTTACGAAAGCCTAATAAAAAATGAGCTTTACAAGTTAAACTCCCTGAATAAGAAATCATTTTTCAATTTTTTCAGGTATTCAGCGAACAAAAATTAACAATATCTTGACATCTCAGATCATCACCATGTATTTGGAGTGAATTACAAATCTTTCAATCGTTTTTATGCTTCAGATACATTATAGTAAAATGCGTCTGGTCCGTGAGATTCTGATATTATACTGAGGTCCAAAGCAAAAGTGCTCTACGGCGAAAATCTAGCTCCATCGGCTACATAACCGGGCAGTTACTCACTTGATGGATCTAGCTAAATGTACCTTTTTACCTAGTTAGCTAGCTCCAATCTACCCAAGCGTCAAAAAAAAATCTAGTATCGCCCGATTCATCTAGATTACTAGATTTTTACTCGATTGCAACTACTGTGTAACGACAATGGAAATCGAGTAATCGAGCGATTACTAGATTTTTTCTAGTTGCAACTATCGATTTATCGCCCGATAATCGATCGATTTAGTTATTACTAGATGCACCTGCAGAAGCATCTAGTTAAAAGTCCCTTTTCCAACTAGTAATCTAGACGGCAACTAGTCGTGTATCGCCCGATTACAGACGAAATGTATCTAGATTTTTCGCATAGGTGATATTTGCTTGGGTAGTAGTGAACCGAGCACCAAAACCAATCAATCCGAACGTAGGGAGATAGATTTATTCGTAAGAACAGGATATAACAGAAGGTTATCCGCCCAATCTAAAAGTTCTTCAGCTGCCGACTTATCTTTCGGGTCCTTGAAATCAATATTGTAATCTTCAAAAAACACCTAATCCGACGATACCAAAGAAGAAAGCTCATAGCCATGTTTTGTTTTTGGGAGCATAAACGCCCACTATGCGAATGATTTGTTCTAATTTTACGTCCACGACAGTGAATTTCGCGGCGAAAAACTAACAAAACTCCTCCCCAACTATTCTCGCCAACCTGATAGAAAAAACGAGAACCAGCAAAGATCTGTGCAATAAAAGAGAGATCGACAGCACCGACTTCAAGTAAAATCAAACAATTTGACTTAGGTTTTTCAAATAAGAGTAAAACCTCTTCTCATCTTTCCGCTAACCCACATACATTAAACAAGAGTACATTAAAATTTGCGATAGAAGGCCTTAAATTAGTGTTAGCGCATGTGTTCCACTCTGAAAGACAACCATGTAACACAGGATAGGAGCTCTAATCCTTTACAATACTTGATAGTAAAGAAAAATCACAATGCGAAAGATGACATTTAGCTAATTGTAAGGCATAATCAAAGTCAAATGAACACCTGTTTTGAGATACACTAGGAAAAAAAGGAGTGGCTGTTGGAGAAAGCACCATACCGTCTATTTATTGTTTGCTAACAATGTTGCAAGAAGTTTTCTTTTTTCTATACTGTCTTTCTCTTGTCTTCCACTCCACTTTGTCCGTTCATCTGCGAGTTTATCATATAGGCTAATTAGTGATGGTGTGGTGTCCGTATTCAGCGGACTTCCCTCATATGTCTGTACATTGACAGAGACCCCTGAAATTAGCACATAATCAAGTATTCTATCTGAACGTAAAGAGATAGGACTATCAGGAAGAAAATGAGCAAGTGAGCACGAATCAGTCCAATCAAGTAAGGAGACAGACTTCACAGTATCCTTTCTTAAGTCAACATTGAAATCTGCACAGAAAACACAGTACGAGATGGTAACAATCGATAAGTCTGTTCAATTCCATCCCTTACTCAACTAAATCAATACAGATATATTTATTTGACATTTCGTCTCAAGAATAAATGGCACCGGACAATCAACTATTATAAAACGCGAAAAGTAGCTGCAATAGTAATCGCTGCACTACATGCAAATATATAGTACAACAAAACTGGTTCATTTCATCAGCTGCAGATCAGATTTTCACTATTCCATTCACTGTAGATTGTACAACAACGAACCTCTGTTACTTGTTAACATGTTCTCTGTGTCATGCTCAATACGTTGGTAGCACAGGGACAACCCTTCGTAAACCTCTGAATCAGCATCTTACATCTATTCGACAGAAGTACACTGACGATACGAATTGTATGAAACATTTTACTTCATATAATCATTCACTGGAGAATTTGAATATAATTATCATTGAAACAAATTATATCAATGAACGTCATCGTCTAGATCGGGAGAAATACTGGATTGAAATATTACGGCCATTCATTAACGCAGATAATTACTTATTTCAATGAAAAAGATAAAACCTCACGTTTGCGTAAGTTAGGTGTATCAATTAATCTCCCGTCTGCTTATGAGAGTTTTATACCATCTTAATTAACATTATTCCCATCATTGACTATTGGATTAACATTCCAATGGCTAATTAACATTAGCTCTCCTCTCGTTCACGTGTCATGGTCGGTCACTCACTCTCCTAGATGATTTTCTCATGCAGGGTTTGGGCGTGCGCGCATGAGAGAGAAGGAGAGAGAGATCATCTTTACCGTTATTATTCATTCATTTTATCATCATCACATTATATATGAACAGAACAGTAGCTACATTAAAATATGTCATTAAGATTTGTCGCGCGCAAAAATCTGTTCTCCAGGATGGCCTGCTTTCCAGTTTTCACGTGGAAGCCTCGTTTTGCTCAACATTTTGTGCTCATCTACGTTTGTTCTTAAAACGGGGTGAACGTTCTGTTTGGTTTCCTATAGGTTTTCTAGAAAAAACCGCGTCTTCGTTTTTGATCTGACCCACACATTTTTTTTATTCCTGTTTTGCACTCAATCGATAGAGAATCAAAAATTACGCATAATATGAAAATGTCAGATAGTTTTCTGCTTTTATTTTGAAGTTATAGACAAAATGACTTTTCAGACTGAGCGATTTTCGTCAATTGTCCAATCCATTTTGACTTTTTGATACTTTAAAGGTCTCTAACAGTGTCTAATAACATATTTGAAAAGAGAAGCCTTCTTTACATATTTTTTTCTCATTCAAAACGATCTTCAAAATGAACCTCATATTCGATGGTCATTGTTAAAACCTATCGTCATGGTGTAGAATATTGACTATTCATATTTAGTTGAGATAATTCATAAGTAGCGCACAAGAAAGCAACAAAACGCATGCAACACAAGAGGCTGATTAGAACGAAAACAACCGTGTCATATCACTTTATTCTATGAAGCAAATTTCGCTTACTACTCTCCTTTTTTTATCTTAATATTTGTCTTTATACGACTTGAGAGGTAGATGCAGAAAAAGGACAGAAACAGCAAAGTCACTTTTCCAAAGAAAGTTAGTAAGTATGAAATGTGACTCTGTCGTCTTAAAACACTAACAGAAAACGAAAAAAAGCTTATATAGCTGGGCACATACACGTATATTATTTGTGATTTCAGAAGCGTATAAACCAAAATATTAACCGGACAGACAAAACGACATGACCAGCACAACACTAGCTCTGCTCTGGCTTATCATCACTGTTGTTCTCGCGGAAGTTCCTACCCCACCCAACCCAAAGCAATTCACTATTACTGCAGGAAAACCTGATGGCAGTGTACAATATATGGTTACGACGAATTATGTGGATCGTTTTGCGGATCTCTTTCGCATCGATGTAACTAACGAAGGCGATCTCTTTGAACAATCTTTCTATTATGGAGCAACAAAAACAGGATACCTCTTATACTATGATGAAAGCCCTCCTCGATGCAGCAAAACCAAAGAGAACGATGCAGATATGCTACGTGAGTGGCAGACATTGTCCTACGCTGGCAAAACAAGGTCCATCATCGATCCAAGTATAGAGTGTAACATGTGGAATAAGACTGTACAAAGTTGGACGTGGTCCTATCTTGCCTCTGTCAAGGATAATACTCCAATTGAAATCCTGGACAATAGTATTCTTGTATCTGTATTTAAAAATTTTACTGTGGGACCAAAGGTTGTGCCAAAGAGCGTGTTTGATTTGCCTGTGCCCGAAGAGAAATGCAAATAAATTTATCCATAATTTTATACATTAAAATAAATTCACCCTGCAGTCGAGAGAGAGAAAGAACATCACAGAGAAATCTTTCACATTGCACTTCTCAATTTCGATCGGTAGAGAGAGAGAGGTCTTCGGATTAGTCATCGAGCATGATCTCATTTTGTCGGATACGACTGACCTGAGTCATATTTTTCTGCGAATCATTATTGATGAAAAACATCGCACTGATTTGATCTACAATCTCAATTCTCTTCTGATCAGAAGGGAATTAAGAGTTATCTAATATCCTATCTCTCATCATCGAATTAGTCTGTAACCTTAGTGTTTTCCAGTTCCGATTGCTTTCGCCTTCCGGAACAAACGAACATCCTGCAATCAACAGAGTGAGAGGCCTGTGTTTCTAAATATAGGATACTTAGCAGATGTGTACTTAAATATTAAAGAGCAAATATTAAGCGTCACAAATCATTTTAAAAAGTGCATTTAAAACGTTGATCATTTACTGCTCTTTTTAAGATCCAAAAAACAACTTGGAGCTGTAAACATACAGCATTTTGTGGAACAAAAAAATTTCTATCATCTGCACTTGGAGAAAAACCATAGGAAGGCAGGCTAGCAAACAGATGCAGAGCTTTTAGGAAAATACAATAGATTTTAACAAAAGATTGCATAGACTTTAATTTCCCATCTTGATCCGAAATGTTAGCGCCACAAATCTAAACGTTTAGAAAAAAAATATGGTCTGTAATTGCACTCCGTAATTAACTCCACTATTTCTACATGTTATTTATTACCATTTTGGAGACTTCGCTTTTGCTTTTCCTGAGAGATGAAGGCTTAAACTACAAAACGTTCACCAAAGAATTTTTCTCTCACAAAAAACTTCATTCAGGAACATATTCAGAAACTAAGCATCACTAAAACTGTCTTCCTTCAAACGGTTTGCAAGAAATACTTGGGAAAGTCATTAAAAAGTAACTTGAAAGTTCTTTTTAAAGAAGAACATATCGACGGTGTTTTACGTGAGTACTTTTCCATATATTTAATTCGAATAAGAGGTGATTATTTTAGACAACAACAATAAAATTTTCTTAGTATGTCTTACTCTTATCGGAATATTTTAGTTATGTGTTGAACTTTTTTGAATGAAGTGTTGCAAAGGAAAAAATTAGTATTTAAAAATGTAGTTTCACAAAGCATCTAGAAAATTTGCTGAATTACCATGAAAAAATTACTTCTAGGATTGAAAGCGATACAGATTCTGAAAGTATAACACCTTTGCTATCAGCTACCGCTTATCTCAGAATCTACTTTTCTACTGTATGGAGTCTTAATAGGTATAAATAATAAGGAATCAGGAACAGAAAAACAAGAAATGGTTAAAGAGCTGATTAATGACTGTTGTCTAGATGCTTATTAAAAAGATAACATTAACGGCCAAGCTCTATTAACAACAGCAACAGACGGTAAGAACAACAACAATGGTCAGAGTTTTGTCACTGTAACTGAGATGCAAAGTATTTTAAATCAAATGCCATTTACGAAAACACAAATTTCTCTAAAACTAACGAAATTTATTTATAGATCGTTGAGATTTCTTTGATAGGTTTAGTAGGATCATTATTAAACTATACCAAACTTGACTTTTTTTTCTGAACACTTAATAAAAAGATTAATAATTAACGTGTTGACCTTTCACGTTAGACTAAAAAAGTGTTTTTCCAATGGATTAATTATCGATGTAATAATCATCTCAGTTTTTGGATTACTTTTTATGTTGAGTAATTCTAATCGACTGATATTAATTATCAAATTAGCAAAGGTTTTATTATCTTTTTGACAAATACATCATAAAAACTATCACAATGATAAAAAGAACAATAGAATCATTCATGTCTATCGTTTTTGAGTAACTTACGTGTTGGGCCCATATTTATACGGTCCACCTTTCTCTAGTGCTCTCAGATACGCTGGACGACCTTGTAATTTGTCAAGTAATTTCTTTGTATTTGGACCTAAATATTGAGCAGCGCGGCTCGACGCAGCTTCTATGGGAAAACTCATCTGAATATCGGCAGCTGAAAATTCATTACCAGCAAAATATTCTCGTTTAGTTAATTCACTTTCAATATAACCAAATATTTTTGTTAATTCCTGTTGAATAAATTTATTATCAACACTTGATGCTATACCATTGGCAATTGGTCGAATGAAAAATGGCGAATTCTTTTTAATATTATCAAATATCAATGTTAGTAATAATGGACTCATCGCACTACCTAAGACAAAAGAATCTTTAATAACAGAAGTAGAATGGATGAAATAAGTCACCTTCTGCAAAATGTAACCAGTAGGTGTATTGCAGTTGATCTTCTGTCCCTGAAGCTGGCTTCAATCGTCCGTTACCATATTTGCTTATAATATATTCTATGATAGCGCCTGATTCTGCAATGGTAATGGGTCCATCAGTAATTACTGGTGATTTTCCCAGTGGATGAACCTTAAAAAATTGAATAGTAAAAACTGTTAAATGTTGAAATAAACTTACAGCTTCCAATTCCTTTGGTGCTCGCATATCGGGGCCTCTTTCATATATTTTAATTTCATACGGTATTTCTAATTCTTCTAAAAGCCATAGAATACGTTGACTACGAGAATTATTTAAATGATGTACAATAAGTGATGAAGTGGTCATGTTAACAAACGTCTTCTTTTATCATCTGCACATGTATAGTATAAAAATGCTTATTCTTTTTTTTGCGATTATTTTTTATGTGATTATTTTTACGAACGGAGAATGAGCAAAAAACTTTTCGACGTACTCATACAATATTATTTGCTTTTATACACGTGGAGTTCGTTGTAGCAAAATATCTTTTCTTTGATATACTTATGGAAGAAAAACATTTTTTCATTCAATTTCTGAATTCTTTCTCATTATATCTCAGAAAAAAACTGAAGCTTTTTTACATAAAAGTTATATGTACACAAAGCACAAGGATAAGATACTTTGAAAATACAAAGGACGGCAGCCAACATACAAAAGCGGCAGTCTTTGAGCAAAAGGGGACCTACGTGTTCGAAAATTTATTTTTGAGCCTAGAAGCCGTAGTCAAGTGGTCAGAAATAGACTGATATATTAGACAACAAATAAAGATTAAATGTAGTTGCAGTCCAAGGGTATTTACCTGAAATAAAAGGATATGATAACTTTAATCGAAGTTATTATACTGAAACTTCTTCATACAGAACTTAAGGCTTATTTGCAAGATTCGCGGAGGAAAAAGAGAATTCGTTTATCTATGATTGGTGTGAGATATGTCCGCCACGCCTCTCTTCGGTCGGTACTCGAGGGGGTACTTCAGCGACGCCGACCACATTTCTGCGTTGATACTTCCGCCTACCAAATTTATCAAAACTGCCTCACAAGGTAACGTTCGTCTACACTCACTGTGACTATAAAAACTTATATCTGCGAACGATCTTCGATGGCCTTTGAATCCAACAAAACACTCACGCCTCACTTCGGTCGGCGTTCGCTAGAGCAGGGCTGGGCAACTCCAACTCCGAAGTTAAGGCTTTTTTGGAAGAGTGGGAGTTGACCTTGGCGAAGTTGGAGTTGAGATTTTAGTAGGTTGGAGTTGGGTTTTTGAATTTTTGTTCTCAACTCCGTTTTGCATTTTTGAAAATATTCAATAGTTGTAAACTGATCTTCTAAACGATTGAGTGGCTGAATTCCCGACTGAATGCGGAAGTTCTTTGCGATTTCCCGCCAGAAAAAGCTCAAAAACGTCCGGAATCCTGCTACAAACTGAAAAATTTTCCTTACAAAAGTGAAGCGGAGTTGAGCGGGAGTTGAGATTTTTGTTGAGAGAGTTGGAATTGGAGTTGGAGTTGAAAGTCAGCGGAGTTGCCCAGTCCTGCGCTAGATGACTATCTGAAAAACGTTGTAACTTTTTCTCTCATTTTTTGTGTAAGGTTAGTAATCTAACATAAATCTAAAAATTTTTCTCACGATCCATCTACGATCCCAAAGGTCTAAAAATACTTTTAAGTTCAAGAAAATTCTAGTATACTATGAATTTATCTGATTCCATAGCAAAAACGCACAATGTAATATACAGGCACCCTCTAAAGATCTTTAGGTGGGCTGGAAGTATGTCTAATCGCTTCGCGAAGATAAAGCGTCTATATTCTGTAAGTTTTATTATCCATATATGACGTTTTTGTATTAATAAAACTGACTGGTTTCGGATGGCATCTATCTTCGAACTACAGAAAAAACCTGCTTATGAGGAACCGCCCCAGGTTGCAAATCACTTTCCGGCTAAAACCGAGTGGATCAGACGTAATCAAAGGTGCTGATTTCGAATATAACAATCATTTTGACCGATAGATCTTCCGAGACCGGATTTCTAGAAAACCAGTTTTTCAAAGCTCTTAAAAAATAATCTAAACCTTTGTTAATGAGGCAGGATTATAGCACTCAGATTTCTGATTAAAATGAGACATCTCCGAGCTCTACACGATCTTTCTTTGCAAAGTTATAGAGTTGGCAAGAAGAGCCCTAAATGTTCATTGTCACCTCAAAGCTACAGAAATAAGAGGAAATTAATTTAGGGCTTTTTTCGAAAATTCTACAACTTTGCAAAGAAAAATCGTGTACAACTCGGACATGTCTCATTCTAATCAGAAATCGGAGTGCTACAATCCTGCCTCATTAACACAGGTTCGGGTTATTTTTTAAGAGTTTTGAAAAACTGGTTTTCTGGAAATCCGGCCTCTGAAGATATATCAGCCAAAATGAATGTTATATTCGGAATCAGCACCCTTGATTACCTCTGGCCCACTAGGTTTTAGCCCGAAAGCGGTTTACAACCTAGGGACTTTACTCAGGAAGAGAACGAACTTGTGATTCAGAGAAAAGTAGGTGAAAACATCAAGGATTTTACTCCGAATCAAATTTACAGTGTAGACATCTCAGCTCATTTCTTTAAAAGTTTTCTCTCCGTGATTAAAAAAGAATTTTCTATTTCTCTCTCTTGTGACTGCTTCTCCATGGAATATTCGAAAGCCATTTTTCGTATTTTGCGTACACACAAGCACACTGCCAGAAATGACGAAGTGGGTAGTAGCCAACCCGTTTCAAATGCATGACTAATTCGTTCTAAGTGAGTGAATTTTCAAATTTATGTTTTTTTAATGGACTTTTCATCATGTTCCAAACATGCTAATGAGAGAGAACAATCATTCGATCTTGCAAGATCAGAAACCATGTCTCTCGAAACGAATTGGCGAAGAAGAATCATTAAGGAAAGCCTTAATACACACGAGACACATCGGAACTCATTGAAGAACATAAAATTTCGATTAAACATCAAAACTAAAAAGATTAGCGGTATCTAATTCTATGACTAAAAGTAAAATACTCTATGAAAAGGTCAAAACAAAATTACTAAATACTTTAAAAATAAAGTGGTAAATTAGATACTGATAAAATCCATAAACAATCTATTTCTAAACTTCATCTCATTAAAATGCACGATCAAAATATTCAAATCCGTTTTACTTTCCTAATATATACTATACGAATTAACGTTGGAACAACTTTCGGATGAGTTGCGTCGTCATATAAATCTCTAAACATATTAAACGCTTGTTCAAAGTATTCTAATGCTTTTTCAGTATTTTCTAAAATATAATGATGTCATGCAGGATACAAATACATTTTGCATCCGTTTTCAATGCATCTCCTCTGTTCTATATCTATTTCTCTTATGAAAATGAGCGGAGATCAAGGGAACAGGGGAACAAGAGTCGATGTATTTATCTATTTCTCTTATGAAAATGAGCGGAGATCAGGGGAACAGGGGAACAAGAGTCGATGTATTTATCTATTTCTCTTATGAAAATGAGCCGAGATTAAGGGAGCAAGGGAATGAACAAGTAACCGAATGCACAGAATATAATTGGCTGCCTACAAAAGGAAAACGTGTTACAGTGAAAAGAATAACAAATGGGAAATTGCACTTTGGTGTTTTCCTTGTTCGCGCTCCAATTTTTACGCCTAGAGCAAGGTAGTCATAACTTTATTGTTAAATGACAAGTAAAATCGCTGAACTTTTATCTCAATAATGTTATAAAGACTGCATCACCATCACGCAATTCAAAGTCACACGATAGTCTGCCGCACACATAAACAATCTCCCAGTGATGGAAATGTTATCGGGTGACTCACTCTCACAACACCCGACCCCCACCTTAATCATTCATACATTCCTGTTTGACATATGCCGAACGCG